ATATTTGACCTATAAAAAGAGATATCCCAGTAAAGTGCAGGCAAAATGAATCCAGATTATTTGGTTGCTTGAAATTTGATATTAGAACAAATTTTAAAAACTTTTTTAAGAGTTAAAAACTACTACTTAGGACTGAGTATATCCTCTTTTCCTACTCCACATAATTACTAGGCATTAATCACACAGATATTTAGTTAACTACTCAGAAACCAACTGATAATATTAACTAATATTTGCATATAAACTACTTTATAATTATATAGCATTTCTACTTTATAATTTCTATAGCATTTTCATTAACAGATACTTACTTTAATGTAAGTAAAACACCTGGAAATATGTCTGAGATAGAGTAAGCCATTCATAAATGATATTTTTGAGAGTTTATCTCCAATGACTTGTAAGATGAGGAGGAATAATATTTTAATCTATGGTTTACAAATAGGAAAACTAGGTCTAAAGATCAAATCCCTAACATAAGCTCACCGCACTAGGAATTGGCAAATTAGATTTTGAACCTAGATTATACAATACCCATGGTGTACCCTTATCATTACTGTATGCAACCTAATCTACAACTCATGAAAAATGACTAAGCTATGATGAATACAGGACAATATTGCAAGTCAAGAGACTTCTTCATGTCTTTCTAGTCACCCAATGTATTGCAAGTCCCATTTACTTTCACTACTAATCTGTTACAATTTTATTTCAAAACTATATATTGCAGTCCACTCCCACGAGAACTATGTTCTCTAGTGAAATTTCTACCACAGGTGTATCTTTTAGATACCTAAGCTACCATTTGAAGAGGATGTACTATTCTTGAGGCCCTATAAAGCTAGGAACCCTTTCATCATTTTCTTATTTAATCCTGACTCTAATCTTAGGTGGCAAATAATATTATCCCTCATCTGATGGATAATTGATGAGGAAATTGAGATTTAGGGCTGAAAATTGATTTGCCAAATACATACAGTTAATGAATAGTAAAGTGAGGATTCTGAGCCAAATCTATTAAATATTTGAGTTGTCACCACTACACCCAATAGCTTGGGGAAGCAATGAATAAACAGTTACATAAGTGTTCATTACAATTTTTAAAATAATTCTTAGGTCTTTAATATAAATACATCGAACCTCTACAGATGAGGGTATAGAGCACACCATTACGCATATTTCTCTGGTACTAGAACTATTTTTTTCAGGACATCCTGTGGAAATACTATTCTAAATCTATAAACTTTAGGAATTGCATGATTCCTAAGAAAACTTCCAATTCTAACATTTTAGTTTTATTCCTAACTTTACTAACTGGATCTCTGTTCTCTTTAGATCTGAATTTTTGAATCTGCTTCTTAACCCAGCCAGATCTGTTTCCTCCATCTGAAATATCACATAAACAGTTATTATGAAGATCACAGGTGATCTTTGATACCAATAATAAAACAAAACATTGCAATACCAAAGGCATTTATTCCTGAAAAGTAAGTACTGTGTAGATTTAAGTAACATTTAGAATCATCAATTAAAAAACTAAGATACATTTTCCTAAATGACTTGAAATATATTTTTTAAATAATGTTTAAATAAGTCAAAGAATTTAGCAAGTGTCCCATGAGTTGAAATCTGAGCTAAGTTTTAGTGGGAGAATTCTATAATCTATCTCTAAATTAACCAAGATCTCTGAAACCAACTTTGTAATCCTTGCTTATTCCTATGTGTTCTAACTTTTTTTGAGATAAAATTTTAAATCAAATTAATTCAAGGAATCCAGCAAGCTGAACTTTTCATCTCCAACCATGTTCCTTATAATAATAGATTACAGTTTTTGAGAATTGCCCCAGCTGAGACCTCATATTGTGAGGTGACACCATCGCCTCTCATTGTCTACACTCTTCTCTGATCCATGATGTCATGTGAAGCATCATGACTGATAGAACCTGACATGCCTTGTCACGGAGCCAGATGAACCAGCTGGGAAGTCTACTAAGCAACAAGCTTCACCAAAGGCAACTTGGAGGTTAAAAATGTTGTGTTTTGTTTATATATTTTTTTTTGAGGACCAATTAACCTGAATCACAGAGAAACTTTCCCAAATCTAAGCTAAGCAAATGATTGAGAACAAGATCAATGTTCATTTTTGAATATAACAAGGTCCTGGGCCAATCCTATGCACATACCTTCTTGTGATTTCTTTTAAAATAAAAAATTAAAGGTACTCTTTTTCCCCCTTAATATTAAAACAAAAAAAAGAAACTGTCAGACTAGTACAACCTTACTAGTTCAAACTGGTTGATCTGATATTAGTAGTTTCTTAAAACAGAGCAGAAATATTTCTTTTCCACTGAATTCTAATCGAGTATTACAAGGGAAACGCCATTTTTCTCGGTGTCTATGGAGCAACTTGTATTTTGGGTATGGGGTTGTATGTAGTCTCATGTGGCTGTCACCATCAGTTTCCTTCTCCTAGGGAGTACCTGTTGATGTTGCCATGGGGAAAAGTCTGCTTAGGGATTAAGCCAACATGACATTATTCCTATAATCTTGACATTATTAAAATATGTCCCCATTCAAAGAAGAAAGCCTGACTTGTGTGAGCATCATACAAAATAAGTTTGAACTTTGGCTTTTTCATCAACTCATCCATCCAATGGCCCTGCAGTCCGCACATAAGTCGGACTCTTCGTGTGAACTGCTTCTGCAAGCATGAGAGACTTGCCCCCATATTAAGTAGCTGACCTTTATCTTCACATGCTTTTTCCTACTCTTTATCATCTTCTTGCATTCAGCATCTGAACCCCAAGAAGGTATCTCTTGTCCTACATCATTTTCCTCAATCAGCAAAGTAAAGGAATCAACTTCAGGTTAATATGAGTGAGATGAGCTTCCACAGGTGCATAAGCCATTTCTCTAATCATGGAAATAAAACGTTCCTGGTACCTTATTAAAAAAGAACATAAAACTTTATTAAATAGGGTGAAGGTAGACAATTGTGTGGCCCCTAGAAGTAAAGTCCCCTACAACACCTCTGCAAAGGGACAATTCTGGCCAGGATTGTATTTTAAAAGGATTTAGTCCTCGCTGTATATATTAATGCAACATAGCTTCTGCCTATATAAACATTTCCCAATTAAAAGTAAAAGGCTTGGTTTCTGATAGTTTTCAGAATGAGCTCTATTCATAATATCATTGTTGCTGTCTGTAAATGTCACCAAGGTAAGAATGGTCTATTTTTAGTCTACTTCAGCCTTCAGCTTCAGAAGAAAACTTAAGAGAAAACGAATGAGCTGCCTGTACTGAAAGGCCTTGTTCATTGAGTCTTCTATACGTGCTCCCTGGGCATCTAGAAGTTCTGCAGGGTATTGTTCAAGCTATTCAAGGTTGAGCATCTATTCACACTTCTTTGAGATTAAAATAGTCATAGCTTTCCCAAACCAGCCTGCTTACTAGGTCTAGGCCTTTCCAACCCCTGTCTCAGGGCAAATAATCAGAACAGCTTCCTTTGCTCTTTTCTGTACTCTATTGTGCGTTTCAAGGTTGAAAAAAATCTGTAGGATCAATGATGTTGCTTTAAAATATGACACAGTTATTTCTTGCCCACAGAATAGATGCCATGGATTTTCTTAGGGCACTGCTTGTGACACTAGATGAGGTTGGTTTTCATGAGTCAATTCGGGGCCTTGTGACTCGTCTACTCCTCACAGGAGTGGTTCACTTGCAGTCTGGACGTATCTTCCCCCTGACACTTCAAAACAATGTGTTTGCTTCCTTTTAGGCACAAAACCATGCTTTATCCACCCAGAGGCCAAGACCATATTTTAAAAGCTAACAATAGAATTCTTAAAAAAATTGTTTAGAAGCCATGAAACATTAATTCTAGCTTTGCCTAGGGTACTCATCAAACATAGGGACAAATATTAGCTATTTGCTATTAGCACCACTGGAAGTTTCTGCACCTTGATTAATTTACTTTGGAGATATGGCTATTAGCAATATTCCTACATTTTTTTTTCTTTCTCTCTGGTTTTTTTTTTTTTTTTTTTTGGTTTTTTTTTTTTTTTGTATGGTCATTCCCAAACCTGTGAATTTCTGCTACTAGAACATGGATTACATTGATTTTTTTCAGTGTACCCAGCTTTTGTGGAGCAAATGATTCTTCTTGATATCAGGAAGATAATATCTTTGATACAGATGAATATATAACAAAAGGAAATAGTATTTTCTAATGAAACTGTACCTTTCAATTGTATTGACATGTTGACTAGCAGAGCAGAACTTCTAATAAACACAGTTGAACTAAATGTCTTTTTAGCAGTTTTAAATCAAACTGAGGCCAAGAGAATTTCCAAGCCCCCCTGAGCTCATGAGAAAACCAATCATTTTCTCTTCTTTGAAATAAAATTGAGAAGCTTGAAATACAGAGTATAAGAGCACAAGCTTTGAAGTCAGCTAGACATAGCCAGTTAATACCCACCCCTGTGATCTTCAATTTTCCTATTTCTACTGTGGGGGTAATAACAGGTAGGTAGAGATGACTCTTATGGGATAACACATAGCCTGGCACATAATAAATGCACAATAAAGCCAAACTAATGATGCTAAGCTATATTTTCTTAATTTTTACTAAAAGCATGAAGAGTTCTTCCCAGGGCACTAAAAATGAACAGTGGTTCTAGACTGTTAGCCAAAATGTTATCATTCAATAACATAATAACTAATGGATGTCAAAACATTCACCCAACCTCATTCTCTATGGGTGTGAAAGGGAATCATCAACATTTCAAGGCTCCCATTTGTTCATTTCCTGCACCCTGGGCTGAAATTCACTACAGGCGTAGTTGCTGAACAGTGATCAAATTGGGACTATTCTGCCCATTATTTTACTGTATATTCTAGTTCTTAATAAGCTTTTGTATGTGTGTGTATGTGTGTGTGTGTGTGTGTATGTGTGTGTGTGTGTGTGTGAAATATACACTGGTGATGGAGGGCCTGGAGTTCTGTGACTTAGAAGTGAAAGTCTCTGTATTAAATTACCAATCCTTTGAACTAATATGTCTCCTAAATAGGAAATTCCTATCATCAAATTTTATTTTTTTTCTTTATGATTGTATTTCACCCATCACTAATTCCCTATTTTTCCTGGTTCTCCTTAACTGCTTTCTTTATCTATTTTTGCATATCAGTCCTTTGAAGACTGTGCTCTATCAAATGTCTTTAACAGTTTATATTTATTTACTCACACAGCAAACATTAAGATGACATGTATTACTGTGCAAAGAAATGTGCTAAGGATGGGTAAGTATACAAGGACAAACAAGACAAAGTTATTGTCATTAAGGACCTCACTATTTAGTAGGGAAAAAATAGCAAAGTGCTCACATCAAACAATAATGTGCGAGATTCTGGTAAGTTCTGTAAAGTTACCTCATTGGCTTATGGTAACGTCAATCTCCGTTCTTCCCTTGCTTTAGTGTATGCTTCGTCCTGGAGTCCTCATGATCTAAAAATGCAAATCAGACCACTGCTTACCTTACAACCCTTCAGTGGCTTCCATGTGCTATCAAGAAAAACTGCAAACACCATGGAATAGCATTCAATACTTTTCATGATTTGATCTCAGCTTAACCCTCCAGTCTCCCATTTTTTCATCTATCTCAACCGTTACCCCACTTTCTGTTTACTTGTCTCTGCCACAGAAACGATGTCCTGTTCTTGCTGTATCCCAAGTACATTGCTGTGTCTGGTTCACAGAAGCTAGTTGATAACGATTTTCATTAAGGGGGAAGCGGTGAGTTTTTATTTGACAATATTGAATTCAAAGTTCTGTCATATTCAGACCAATATATCCAACAGGTAATTGGGGATGCTGAATTGATGCTTGAGATAGAAAATGGGGCTCATTACATAGAACTTGGAGTTATTTACAAACACACGTTCTTTTAAAGCATAACTACAAACAGAAACTAAGAGGAGAATTTAAAATAGTGCTAGGTCTTGAGTTAAACACATTTAAATAATTTTCTTTATTCTAGGATTTGGTGAATAATCTAATAGTGTGAATCTTCCAGATGAGGTTATACTTTGCAGTATTTTCTAAATCTATTTGGCCAAAGAGCATTTTTCTCATTGACATCATTAGTTTATAAATTTTTACATAGGGAAAGAGAGATAGGAGAAAGAAAGTAAGAGATGACCAGAAAGGTAAAAAAGGGAATCAGGTAAGTGAAGCATCTTGAAAATAAAAGGATCAATAAGAATACAGTGGTATGGGCATCAACCCAAAGGAAAAACAGACATTCTATAAAAAAGCCATCTGCACTAGAATGTTTATAGCAGCACAATTCACAATTGCAAAGATGTAGAAATAGCCCAAGTGCCCATTGATACATGAGTGGATTAATAAAATGTGGTATATGTATACCATGGAGTTCTACTCAGCCACAAAAAAACAATGGTGATCTAGCACCTCTTGTATTACCCTAGATAGAGCTGGAGCGCATTCTACTAAGTGAAATATCACAGGATTGCAAAAGCAAGCACCACATGTACTCACCATCGAATTGGTATTAATTTATCAACACTTAAGTGGACAGATAGTAATAACATTCATCGGGTGTTGGGCAGATGGGAGTGGGGAGGAGGGGATGGGTATATATGCACCTAATGGGTGTGATGCGCATCATCTGGGGGATGGACATGCTTGAAGCTCTGACTTGGCCAGGGCAAAGGCAGTATATGTAACCTAAACATTTGTACCCCCATAATATGCTGAAATAAAAGAAAATTGGTCCCCTTAGATGCAGGAGCCAACAGGATTATCCTAGAGTTTCCTATATCCCCTTGGCTCTGTAATTCAGATTGTTGCCTCTTTGGACCAATGCTCAACCATACTGGGGTATTTCTATTCTTTCCCTATAAGTCCTATCACGTTTTGATAATTAATTCTCTATCCCCTAATGAACTCAATGTACGGCCATGAACTTCTCAGGCTGAGGACATGAAGTTTGTGACCATGCATAAAATCTCTCTTCATATGACCAAAATAATAAAATAAAAGAATACAGTGGTGTTCAATTAATCAAATAATGTTAAAAGATTGTACTAGCATAAGTATTTCTAACAGAACAAAAATAAGCAGTTCAGGAAATAAGGTGGGATGGAAGAGAACGGGAAAGGGTAAGGGTCAGACACGCAGGCACACAATGAGGCGGTGTCGCAGAGTTGTGGAGCTTTCAGACAGCCGTCCTGGACTGACCTAAAGCTACGAGTGAGGTGGAACCACCACAGCCAGCTACGGGAACCACACCACACTGGGATAAGAACCGCACAGTCTTAATTCAATTCAATCAGTTGTATAGACAGAGCCCCAAATAGAACCTGGATGATGTTTGTGACTGTTGGAATCATATAATTGATGGACCATCATCCCAAAATTGAGCTTATTTTTATTTTTGACAGCCTAATTCATTAGAGCAAGCTCATTGACTGTTTAACATTTCAAAATCATTTGCTAAGGGACATAGAGCAAGTACGGCCCCACAGAGACAGCTGACTGCCAGTGTACCTGTGCTTATTTTACCTTCCCATCCATTCACCCCACTTCCATTCCGTCTTACGTGTCATTTCTCTGTTTTACTTCACTTGTCCCCTTTGGAATTAAGCTTTCAGTGAGTCTCATTTTCTGCTTATTTTCCGCCCTCCTTTTTCCCTCCTTTCTCCCTGACCAACAAACGCTCTATAACAGACAGACTCATTCATCTCTAGAACCTTATCTAGGGGAGCATATGTTTCTTTTCTTTGAGGTCAGATTAACTATCCCTTATATGCAACAAAAAGAAGAAATATGCATTGGCAGCAAATTCTCTTATGGTAAACCATCATTTCCATCCACTATGTTAAGCCAATTTAACATGCTTAAACATGCCTTTTGTCATCGACAACAAAAGCAATAGGCAGCTGAACCCTGGTTAATAAATCATTTCTGAGGCAGAAAGACTGCTTGGGAAATACGATGCCAGACATTTAAGACTATTCTCTGGAGAGTGCTAGTCATGAGTTCACCCAATTTCTTCATGATTAAAACTGTTTTAACAAAAGACATTTTAAAGAGCACAAGAAGTAACTGAATTTAAAACAAACTCACTGAGTAGTTGAGGCAAACTTTGCATTTGCAGAAGGGCTTATTGAATAAATTATCTCTGACCTAGGAGAATGAGTAACTGGAAGATATCATAGAGGTATGTCTAGAGAATATGAGTTCTAAGAAATGTTAGCTTGTATATTTCAAAAAAAAACAAAAAGGAAACCCAAACCTTCAGCCTTTTCCTATTTGAACTTCCATTTTTATTAATTTAAATTGAATGCATTCCTTCACTATTAATAGGGTAGCCAAAAATACATTGTAAAGAATTTACCACAAAAGACAGAATACCTCAGCACCAAACAAACAAACAATAACAACAAAATCAATTTGAAAGGCTGAACAACAACAACAACAACAACAAAAAAAAAAACAGAAAGAGAGCGATGAGAAGGTCTGGGGAGGAGGGAGGGATGGAGGAAGGGGAAAACCTCTGCAAAGGGGATGGTCATGTGAAATGGCCATTTATTTGACCACACACACAAGAAAACACACACACACACACACACACACACACAAAGATACAATGATGATTATGGCAAAAACCTTCCCAAATGTCAGATTCTCGTTCAACTAACTATAATTATCACTGCCAAATATTTGAGATGACAGCATAAGTAGGACTATTCACATTCTTGTATTTAATTTTATTACACTATAAAAAACATTTGCTGCATCGTACATTCATTTATATTAGGTAGTACATGCATTCATTTCAGGTAGAACATTTTCAGGTCAGATGATATGTTTAGAAATTCATCTTCAAGTGGTCTGGGAGAATTTTTCTGGCCTGACTTTTATCTTCTCCTCCCACCCAGCTGCTATATGACTTTTAGAGCTTGGACATGCTTCCAAACTCTGAGCAAAGGGGAGTAAAAGCTTTTGAATACACAGGTGCCACTGTATGCAGAATCGCCTGTTGCCATGCTTACTGATGAATGCAGGAGAGCAACAAACAACCTTGGCCAGACAGCATAGTCATCTCCAATCTCTGAAAATGACATTGTTTCCTATCAGATGAGTGACATGCAAAATATCATTGGCCATATGGACACACAGAGGAAAAGTAGAGTGAGTGGCTTTTAAGGAGACACGAAAAGCTGTGCTTTGAAAAGAATTGTCCATAGCCAGTAGAAACATGTAGTAAACCTCTGGCTAGTGTATGGTCTAGCTATCTCTTGCTATGGTCTCTCTAACAACATACTGTATGCATTAAATGCTTTAGTCTTGAAATAATGAAGTTCTTGATTTAGCTAAATTGCCCTTACAATAACGATAACACTTATGTACCAGTAACTGTGCAAAATGCTAAACATTCGTTATCCCTCTTTTACATGAGAATGTTGAGCTGATGGAACAAATTATTTAGCATGACCTCCGTGATTGTATTGTTATTTAGCTTTATTTCCTAGAAAGAATACTACTGTGAGACAGCTTCTCAGTTTGAGGCTGGTTCTATTCCATACATCTAATACTACCTCTACCAACTTTGTTAGCTGATATTTATTGAACACATGCTATTATAAGGGTGTTATTCTAAATGCCTTAGTCATTTAATGTTCAAAATAAAACCTTGAAATATTGTCATCTTTATATTACAGATAAGGAAACTGGGGGAAAACTAGGTTATTTACCAGAAATTATTCATATGATAGAAGGTACAGATGGAATGTGTAACTCAGCATTCTGGATATTCTTAGCCATTTCACAGTTGCAAAGATGTGGAAACAACCCAAGTGCCCATCAAGACATGAGTGGATTAATAAAATGTGGTATATGTATACCATAGAGTACTACTCAATTACAAAAAAACAATGTGAACTAGCACCTCTTATATTATCTTCATTAGAGCTGGAACCCATCCTTTGAAGTGAAGTATCACAAGAATGGAAAACCAAGCACCACATGTACTCACCATCAGATTGGTACTGATCAACACTAAGGTGTTCACATGGAAGTAATATTCATGGGTGCCAGTCAGGTGGGGGGGTCATGGGGTGGGTAAACTCACAACTAACGGGTGCAGAGCACACTGTATGGGGGAGGGCACACTTGTAGCTCGGGCTTGGGTGAGGCAAAGGCATTATGTGTAACCAAAATGTTTGTACCCCCATAATATTCTGAAATTAAAAAGTATTTATATATATACTGATTCCCATGAAGCCTTGGAATTGCTAATTTCACAGAGTATTTATTGTAAAAATTGTGAACTTTTAATAAAATAATGTTGGTAAAAGGAACTTTGTATTCTGGAAAGTACTGTGCAAATCATGCTCATTTATTTATCCACCTATCTATCCAACCATTTATTTATTTCCTGCTTTGTTCTACTAAAGAATGAAAACATCTAAGTCAGTAAA